ATATACAATTTTCTCGGTAAATTTAGTCAAAACAATAGCCGAATTTAAATGTTATGTAGTCAACGCAGCTTGCTTTACTCATAGACAACGTAACATAATACTAGTATGATAATATCGTCCGAGTCTTAAACAACATTGACTTGTGTCACATAATTGGCACACTACGTGACCACAAAAACAATACTATTATCTAAATGGATCGTATAATAAAAGATCTATACGAAGTACTTACCATACGGTACGGAGGAAAAATATGAGTGGACCAACAAGATTCACGTATTGAAGAACCCAACAACCATATCAAACGGTAGATCTCAGTCTTAAGTATTAGCCTCTTCTTTAAATGACTATAACACCCTTCCGATTAACACCGGTCACCGGAGGATAAGATACGACTATTGATTGGTAAAATTTGTCGCCGCGTAAATTTTTTGATTTTCTTTACCTGACTGTTGGGATTTGGGAAGGTGTGTCTGCTTCGACCGCACGTGATGGATCGTTGCTTTCACATGTGTCCTTGGCAGTTAAAACTGTTTTTGCTCCAGATTAATCTTGTTTAAGAAGAAGAATAAAAAAAACAAAAAAGGGACTGCGAACAAAGAAGTAAAAAATCTATACAAATAAGAAACTGGTCTTTATGATTCCATTGTAAAGAGATCTACTCCCTCCGTTTCAAATTAGTTGTCGATTTAGGAAAATGTATCTGTAATTATTTGGATGTATCTGTTATGCAAATTACGTCCAGATACGTCCAAATATTTACAGATACATTTTGCCAAAACGACAACTAATTTGAAACGAAGGGAGTATGAAAATTCAACTTTAATGCGAAATGCAAAAAAATCAATTTATTAGACGGTTGAGAAAGAAAAAAACATTTTACGTGATAGACTCGTTATCGACAGAAATTAAAAGAAAAAAACTTTTTTATTTTATTTATAATGACGCAGTGACAGGATACTTGAAAACAAATTCTCACCTATATTATCGAGTTGACGACAACCTGCTTTCAACTGTTGAATGAGCTGTCAGCTGTCTCTTGACTTTTAATCTCATTTACAAGTTGTTTTTTGGTAAATAATTTTCTTATATCTTCCTTATGAAAAGTTTCACCGGCTAATGATGCATCACGGTAATTTGTATACATTCTCTCGTTTAAGGGAGCTGTAAAAACACAATGGTTCCGGAAACACCAAAACATAATTTGATTTTGATACTATCAGCTTGGATAAATAGATATCAGCTTTTACTTTTTATAAAAAGAGAGTATCAATTAACTGGGGAATATGGTCCTACACAGTACACACATTTAGGCCTAAATACAGTGAACCAGAAAAAACTTTAGAATAGTAAAATAAAGCCATTTCGAGAAATAGCTTTAAGAGGAAATGAGAGATAGTCAGTCACATGCTATTCTCTCGACAAAATTACGTCTCGATATGAGTATATATTATAATGGAATTTACACGGACCAAACGGAATAATTTCCTTACTCGTGAAAGAATATGATTTATGAATTCAGTCACTTATACATTCTCCCTCAAAATCCGTCATAATTTTTTTTATATAGAAAAGTGAAAGTAAGAATATTTCGAAGTACGTTCCACTTAATAATGTAATGCATCATCTACATAAAAAAAACAACATACTCTTTTGATTAACTATTTCGGGTGTGAATAGTAAGCAAGTTAGAGTAAACCAGAGTAAAATAATTTACTCTATCTCAACAGTAATGAGAGAAATTTTTTTATTGTTATCAAGTGATTTTAGTTTTTTTCAGCTTAAAACTTTACTCCAGATAAAAGTGGTGGGAAGTTTTACTCTGATTTTTGTGGGTTCATACACTTTCTATCAAACTTTTTATTCCACCTTATTACTCTAATTTGTTTACCATTCAAAGCCGTCATACTCTATGTAGTTATGAACACCAATACCATAAAATTTTGATTAAGAAGACGTCTAGAGAGATAGAAAGATAGCTAGAATCAAAAATCAAATCTCACGTGAAGCGAATGCAAACTTATGTAGTGAGAACATACAAGTACATTTACGGACCATGTATTTTTTTTTTTTTTTTTTTGTTAAAGGGTCTTCATTTACGGACCATGTACAGTGTACAGTTACTCGTTGAACAGCACTAATATTTGAATAAAAATATCAACAAATAATAAAAAATCAGGGTATAATTAGTGGTTAGGGTAGAAATTATGGGAAGAATGAATTTGGTAGTAGATACGATGGACCAACAGCAAAAAATCTCATACCGTATCTCCACTAATGACACCGTTTTGTCCTAAATCTACAATTTGGCTTTCACTAATTAGACAGAATCTTAACTTTCGTATAATTGTTTAAAGAGTATGAGGAAGCTAAAGAGAAGCTCCCTTTGGTATTGGAACATGTGCTTCGTTTCTGTGCGGTACACCACTCATGTACGGTTTAACGTATTCCATTATCTCGAAGACGATGTTGACAAGAAAAAAGACGACAAACAACTTATATCACTTTTTTTTTCATTTGAGAACTGAGATGTTAAACATTTAGGTGCTATAGTTTTTAGTTTTATCATTTCTCAAAGTTATCACCATACCATATATAAAAACAATATCTTCAGTTTTATCCTCATCTTGACATTATGTGCAATCTTTTGGAATCGTATAATATGTACAATTTACGAGAGATCTTCGATTTTATCTTCATCATTTCAGTACGTGCAATCATTTTGGAATATAATAGTAAGTATCATTTACAAAAAGAAACATGAATTTTCATGAGTATTTTTTTTCTTTTTAAAAGATTTCCATGAGCCTAATTAGTAGTTTAATGTGTTTAATTTCTATGGTTTATTTTTCAAAAAAGAGAGGAGTGGATGGGTTACCGGCAGGTGGGGAAGTGGCCGTTAAAGGAATAGAGCATATGTTTTTATACAGCCTGTCTTTTCTCATTTTTAAATAAATAATAAAAATAGTAACGATCGGCTCTCGGATTCGCGACGTTATTTTGTCGTTTTCCGTTACGTCACCATCATACAGGCTGGCTTCCTCAGTCAGAGAAACTCAGAAAGTCTCTCTGAAACTAAAAAACAAAAACCTTAAGCTAAGAGAAACCCCATCATCCTTATCTTCCTTTATTTTACTTTTAATACCTCAAAATCTGCAAACACCATGACTTCACAGTTCAGAGTATCTTAAATTCAGTTATCTTTGCATCATTCCTATAACGTGTATGTTTTGTTACTCACAAATGATCATTTATAAAATATACATATAGTAGTATCTTGTGACTAATCTCTAACCTTTACGTTTGATAATAAGATTGCAAAAACTGTCCACTGAAATAAAAGATTTAGGTTTACGTAATGAAACGACATTGTCTATACATTTTATAATTTTTAAAAATGTTCTTAGTCTAGGGCTCTAGGCTACCAACGCGTAGTATTTAAATTTGATGCCAGAGAGATAGTGATTGCAGTAATATTAGGTGAAGTCTAGAAGTTTCTCCTTCAATCTGTAGGTCAAGACATCCAAGAGTTCATGTCCCACAGCGATGGATACTATGTGGTGTTTGATCAACTTAGATAGAAATCGTGAACGGGTAAAATTACTAAAGAATCTCTTTCGTTTTGAGTTATGTACCTAAATCTTATACTATTATGCCATGTTGGGTGAAACATTTAGTAGCGATTGATAAGTTTATGCTGTGATCACTTAGATGAATATGAAGTTGAAGTTAAGCAAAAAGATAAAGGTATACACACACTCCAACTGTATAGAAGATATCTAAGCTCAATAACCAATTTTGGGTATACATAAAGGTATGATCGAACATATAATACCACTTCACCAAACATATTTAAGACTAAACACTAATTTATGACTAAAGATCCTGTCACATTTTAAGGAGTATTTTGGAAGTATACTCTTTTTTTTTCGAAAATACTACTGAAGAAATTTTGTTTCTTTCAATAATTGAAGTTTCAAAACCCCAAGGATTGTTAATTTTTGTTTGTATAGAGTAAAAAACAAAAGAAACAGTTTTTTGTTGTTGTTGTTGTTGTTTAGTTTTCAGGACAAAACATATTTTATTTTTCCCTTAAATCCAAAAACCCAACTGGAAAGTGGAAACTGGATTCATTCAAAGCTTTTCAATTAAAAAGTATGGATACTTTTACTTATACGTTTCTAATACAGCAAGTATGTCAATAAATACACAAATGCTACAATTTAGCTCAATTTCAAAAAAAGAAAACGACGATTTGGGTCGCATCAAATCTTTTAAAAATGGAAAATGAAATTTCTTTGAACTACAAAAATAGAAAAAAAAAAAACGAAATGATTGGAATAAAAACGCCCCACCTGTGAAACGCTCTCTAGGAGTAGTACCACACAAGTACTTCACTTACCTAATAACTTGCCACGTATCCCCACTCACAGCTGTATCCCAAATCCCCAACCGTTTTCCTGGAAGATTCTCTCTTGATTTTAACGTCACAAACAGACGCATTTCCCCCCCAATCGCACCGCCAATCGCTGACGTGTTTCAAAACAATGAAAAACTCAAATACGTTACAATTATTACAAGCCGGTATGTTGTTATCATGCTCACGTTACATCTTCTAAAGCTTAATTACCCACATAACTAATCCAATTAGAGTTACTTTCACATTTAATTATTCTCTCCTTCTTTCAAATTCAAATTTATATGCTCAATTTTGGGTTAATTTATAAGCTCATTTTTTCAATTTGAAACCGAAAGAATATTTAGACGTTTTTACTGCGAGTAAAAAAGAATAGTTGAAACGGTTATAATCGTTTGTTGTTAAAATAACGATAAAAACTTACCGGTAGAATCGGTGGCCCTTCTAACAATCACATCTCGTATATAAATAAACACTCTCTCCTCTCTTTATCCTCTCAAAATCGTTTCGTCTCTCGATTCAGAAAACAGAGAACGCGTTTTAAAGTTTTCGATAAATTTGAAAAAAATATAATAACCCGGCGATGTCTGGTATGACCCGGAGAGAAATGGATCGGATCAAAGGTCCATGGAGTCCTGAAGAAGACGATCTATTGCAGACGCTAGTTCAAAAGCACGGAGCGAGGAACTGGTCTCTCATTAGCAAATCGATCCCCGGACGTTCCGGTAAATCCTGCCGGTTACGGTGGTGCAATCAGCTTTCGCCGGAGGTCGAGCACCGTGCTTTCTCGGCGGAGGAAGACGATACGATCCTCCGCGCGCACGCGCGGTTCGGTAACAAGTGGGCGACGATCGCTCGGCTTCTCAACGGTCGCACCGATAACGCGATTAAGAATCATTGGAACTCGACGCTGAAGCGGAAATGCAGCACCGCCGGCGGCGGCGGAGCGATGTCCGACGACGGACAGAGCTGCGATTTCGGTGGGAATGGAGGGTATGATGGTAATTTAGCGGATGAGCAGCCGTCGTTGAAACGGACGGCGACCGGAGGAGCTGTGTCGACGGGGTTGTTTATGAGTCCCGGAAGTCCATCGGGATCTGACGTCAGCGAGCAATCATGCGGACCTGTTTTGGTTTTGCCGTCTTCTACTCATGTTTTTAAGCCGACGGCGAGAGCTGGTGGAGTGGTGATTGAACCGACGGCGAAAGATCCGGCGACTTCTCTGAGTTTGTCTCTGCCTTGGGTCAATGAGTCAGCTCAGGGAAGAGACACGGCGGAGCTTTTTCCGGTGAGAAAAGTGGAAGAAGAGGAGAGAGGGAGATGGATGTCGGGGTTTAGTGGAGATTTCATGACGGTGGTGCAGGAGATGATTAAGACGGAGGTGAGGAGTTACATGGCGGATTTACAACGAGGGAACGGCGGAGGAGGAGGAGGAAGTTCGTGTATGGTGCAAGGAGGAGCTAATGGCCGTAATGTAGGGTTTAGAGAGTAGTGAGTGAAAACGAAGAGAGAATTTTAGAATTTATTCAGATGAAATCACAATCGTTTTTTTCTCTAATGTTGAATGTACAAAGAAATGCCCCATGAGAGAAAAAAATTGTGTAACAATGAAAGGAAATGCAGAGCAAAAAGCCATTTCCATCTTTTGAGATTCAATTTATTCAAAAACTTGAAATAGCTATTGATCATTACATATTTACATCTCTTCGATCTAATGAATTGTCCAAGAACAACGTTCATGAGAACAAAGGTGATTTCACGATTTTTGATCATTTATAATTTTTATAATTTTATTTTTGCGTTTTCTATAAAATGATTCCATTACATGTTTTTGGCACTAAAAACCAAAACGTTATTAATCTAATATAGCATTTTCCTCCTTATTCTGCGCAAATTTTATTCAATTTGAATGTTTTCGATATAGGATCATCGATTATTCCTATATTGTGTTCATAACATGTTTTTTGAACGTTTTATCCTTATCAATTATCATTTGAAGTTAGCATGGTGATCGACCTATAGGCTAAAAGCAGAGAATTTGTATACTATACATATGCATTTTGTTACATGACATAATACAAATCACTAGACTATATATATATATATTTTATTATACGTTTTATGTTCTTGAAAACAACTTAATTCAATATTTTATTATCTAATGTGCATGCTCCGTGGTTAAACAATTGTTGCGGGAGATGGATCTTCGTGAGTTGAAATCGCTGATCACATCAGCTATATCCTGTTTCCATGACCATGATGGATCGTTTAAACCGCGTATCGAGTTAAGGCAAACAAGAAGCGTCCCGCCTTCATGTAACAACACCTATGATTCACAATGCAAAGGATATATGTCAATAGAAGCTTAAAGAAACTGTTTCAAATAGCCTTTGATAAGCAAAGCAGCTTCATGGTTACCGTTAACCACAAAGGAAGAAATCCAAGAACCGATGGAAGTGCGGCTAAGAATATTGAGGTTAACGCAATAGCCACGTTTTGCTTTACCTGCAAAACAACGATATATGAATGGAGCTAATTCAAAGCCAATCCAAAATTAGTTATTGCATATAATTTGACATTTTTACATCTACGATTTGGTTAAAGGCTTTTGTTATCATTACCAGTGATGTTGTTTGGTGGGATTTAGCAATACAGAAAGGAACACCAGTGATGTTATCACGAAGCAGTAAGACATCAGCAACAGCTATAGCTGTGGCACTAGCACGTTGAGCAAGAACAATCCCAACAGTTGCAGCTGCTAAAGCTGGACCATCGTTTATACCTTCTCCCACCATAACAAATCCTCCACCTAAACCAACAAAAAGAAACAAAAAAAAAATTACTTAAAATCACTTCCTCTTATAGTTTCTTCAAGCATCAAGATCAATCATCACCTGACTCTCTTGTAATGTTTTTGACATGATTCAGTTTGTCTTCTGGTTTCAAGTTACAATAAACTTCATCAATACCAACACCATTTGCAACTCTCCAAGCACTTGACTCATGATCACCAGTTAACATCATTACTCTGAGTCTTCCCTTGACGTTAAGGTCTTCTATAACTTTTGTTACTTCTGGACGAGGCTGATCTTCGAGGTGAATCAATGTTACTTTTTGATCAAGCGAAAGAACGGCATGAACAAAGTCATTTCCATACAAAGAGGAATTCACAGCATCCTTGATCTTTCTTGACTCGTCTTGCGATTCAAAGAGTGAAGTAATGAATTCTACAGAACCAAGTGACGCTTTCTGAAGTTTACTGTCTTCAATACAGTTAACTGTAGCAGTAAGTCCTCTTCCTTGAAAATACTCAAAGCACTCAACAGAAACAGAAGGAAGATCTTTTCCAACACTATGATCTACCATGGCTCTGAAAATAAATATTCTTTGTTATTATATTCTTGAAAAGTCTAAAGACTTTTATAAATGCTAACATTTTTGAGATATTTTAAAGCAAATACCTTCCAATAGGATGTGTGGTACCTTTCTCCAAAGCAGCTGCTACGGCTAAAGCTTCTTTTTCACAATGTGACATACAACAAGGTGTTACATTCGCATTGTTTCGTGTTTCATGGCCATAAATGGGTTCTATAGCTTTGCATGTAAGGCCTCCGGTGGTTAAGGTCCCGGTTTTGTCAAAGCCAATAGTGTGACAAGAAGCTAGAGCATCTAGTACTTGTCCACCTTTTAGCAATATCCCCTATAAACAGCAGAAAATATTAAACATAAATGAAGATAAATCTAGGGCTAAATCTTTGTAGGGTTTATGGTTGGAATCTTATGGTAGATTATGCAAAAGAGTACTTTGAAGTTTGTTAAGATACCTTTCTTGCACATGAACTAATAGCAGTAGCATATGCTAATGGAGCAACTGCTAAGGCACATGGTGAAGCCGCCACCATAAGTCCTAAAGCTCTGTATATAGATCCTCTACATGCTTTATATCATCAAACATCAACCAAATTCAAAATGTAAGTCCAATATTCGAAACCATTCTCAAGAAAAAGAAGCAAAGGGATCACTATTCATTACCTGTGGTGCCAAGAAAAGGCCATTTGAACAAAACTGGACCAAGGAAGGCAATAGCAACTGATAAAACAACCACCACTTTGCTGTAAATCTCACCAAACTCATCCATCCATCTCTGAAGTTTAGGTTTGTTAGAGTTTGCTTCTTCAGTCAACTGTAGAATCCTATTAAGTGTTGACTCATTCCATGCTTTTGTAGCCTGATTATATTTAAAAAGATAATAAGCTTGAGAGTTTCTTAATAACAATATCTAAAGTCAAATAACATCATACCTTAACAATTATTCTGCCATCCAAATTTCTTGCACCACCAGGCACTCTATCTCCAGCTTTTGCTTCCAATGGCTTCACTTCCCCGGTCAAGTGCTCAATTGTTATGGTTGCATTACCTTGATAAACTTGGCAATCCACAGGCACAACCTAAAACACATACAAATATACAATATGGTGAATCACTACGATTTTAAAACTGCAAAAATGTGTCAAGGGTTTTAAAAGAGAATAGTTTCACAAACCTCACCAGTTCCTACCAAAATATAGGATCCAACTTGTACATTTTCCACATGGACGCTTTTGTATGACAAATCGAAGAAGTTTGGTGAATTGTGATTATCCACGTCAATCACCAGTGCAGAATCTGGATTACTCTCTTTTAACTCTTTAACATCCACCATCGACTTACTAGTGAAGAACTCTTCAGCTGCAGAAGAAAAGAAAGAAAATGTCACCATATAGACTCAATCAAGAAAGCTTTACGTCATCAAGAACATATCAAGAAACTCTCACCGATATGAGCAAGATTGAACATGGCTACAAGCAATCCTCCTTCTAAAGCATTTCCCATAAACACAGACGCAAAAGCTGCAAGTGCCATTAAAACATGGATGTTCACTTTCCCTCCAGCTATATCCATTAGTGCGTCAAGAGATGCTGATATCTGATAATTCACAGTGAAGAAAACAAATTCTTGCCTTAGACTCTTTAGCATTAAGCTTTCGTTGAATCGATCAAATAGGAGTGTATAGCAGAGAAGAGAGAAATCATTTACTCCAACAAGAGGGAAAGCTACGATCATGAAGGTGTTCTGAAGGGGTTTAATGTAAGGTTGTTTAGGAATCAAGTAAGGGCAAGCGGCGGCAGCGAGGAAGAGTACGGCGGAGGAGCAGCAAAGATGGAGATTTTCTCTGAGGAAATTGGCTAATCGAATCCATCCGATCGCTTTAGCGAACTTTATCAACACTTTCTGAGGATTGTTCGATACAGAGACTTCAACAGAACAGCAATGTCGGTGATGGTGATGGTGATGATGATGATGATGATCACGATCGTGCTCGTGATGATGATGGTGGTGGTTTTCGCCGGTCGCCTTCGTCAGAAGATGAAATGATCGTCGGGAAAGACGAAGAGAGGCAGAGGTACGAATCGGAAGAGTCTTCTTAGGTTGAAGAAGTAAGAAGAAGTTTAGTCGAGCGAGAGGGAGAGTGGTTTTTGCAGGAAATGAGAATCTTGTGAGAGAAGAAGATGAATGTATAAGAGCAGCTGGTTCCATAGTCGAGAATTTGTCGATTTGAGCTACTCTTAATGAAACCGCCATTGATTCTGATCTCGCAGAGGTGACAGAAGAAGAAGAATAAGAAGAAGAGGTGTTGGAGTTATATGAAAGATGTTGTAATATGGTCTCATTATGATCTCATCTTGTCTCCTCTCTTTCCGCTTTGTTTTGTTGCCAAAATTCAAAATTATATAAAGACAAATGATATGATTCGGCCTGGGCGTTCGGTTATTCGGGTCGGGTTCGGGTCGGTTCCTTTCGGGTTTCGGGTCTTTCGGTTCTAGAAAATTTAGAACCATTCGGGTATTTTTTATTTTCGGGTCGGGTCCGGTTCGGTTCCGCCCGGGTTCGGATCGGTTCCGGATATTCAAACTTTTGTTAAAAAAATATAAAATAAAAATAAAAACTGTTTAACTTATACGAAATTTAACAAAATTTCGGAAAAAAATATTGAATATTAACAACCATAAATAAAGATTTTCGGATTTCTTTGAATATTTTGGTTATTGTTTTCTAAATATAACTATTATATTAGATTTATAATTATAATTTTATATATTTTGGTTATTTTAAGTCTAAATATAACTAATATTTTTGGATATATAGTTATATTTTGAATATTGCGGGTATCCACAGGTTTTCGGTTCGGTTCCGGTCCGGTTCTTTCGGGTATAGAAATTTTGGACCCATTCGGGTATTTGTGTCGGTTCCGGTTCGGTTCGGTTCCACTTATTTCGGGTCGGGTTCGGTTCGGTATTTCGGGTCCGGATAAAAATGCCCAGGCCTAGATATGATCTTCGAACAAGTGGGCCAACTACTAGAGATGCGGCCCAATTTCGGAGGCCCATTTATACTTTAAACTCCAATTCTTGAATCATATCAAAGTTACTTTTGTTGTTAACGATTTAATGTATTTTTATCCGTTGATAATGCGGAATTGATTCGAATGGGATGCAGTGACAATACTTGATCTTTAACACACTAAAAATATAGAAACATTCGGAAATTTATTTGTATATATTAATCAAAATAATCAATGAATTTTATTACATCGTACATTATTATCAAACTTCTAACACTTAAGAAACAAAAAAATGTTCCTACAGAAAACAAATTGAGGATCTACAATTCTTGATCTCGTCCAATTTCATTCTCTAATGTATATATGAAGAAACTACTAATTAATTTGTAAAATATAACAGATAAATAAACGAAAGAAATAATAAATTTCTGTAGCTAGACCAAATCAGCTACCTTAACCAGTTCGGTTCGTTAAGTTAGTGACCGGGTCCGCTCGGGCTAGGACCTGACTGCTTACCATATCCAAGCGTCTCGCTCTCCACGAATTGATGACCCTCACCACCAGAGCTAGGACCCGATTGCTTGATCGCACCAAGTGACAAACCATCGAAGAACTCTGCCACGACCTTCTCTTCGGCCTTGCTTAAACCCAACGGACGAGCCTCCACCACAAGAACCGAACCAACCAACATGAAAAACAGAATCGAACTCAGAACAGCTTTGCTCATCATCATTTTCTTTGACTGGTTATTGAGTAATGAAAACAAATAAAAAGTATTTTTATATATATTCACTAGTGAGTCGAGATGATGAAATTTGTTGTGAAGAGTTTGTGGACTTAGAGTTGGATTATATAGTAGTGTGAAGAGCCTTGATGGAGAAGAAAAGTTTGAGTTTGAATTTTTCTAGTTTTGACTTCTTAAGTTCAGAATTCAACACAACACTACTTCCTGGGAAAATGCAGAGGTTGCTTCTTCTTCTTTGGTCACCACATTTTCTTAATAAATTATATAATTTGCGAAAATAAAAAAGCCATCAACGAGGAATGGCGATTAGTATTTTTTTTTTCTATCTGTCTGAAGAAATAAAATGATTTAATTTTGTGTCTGCTTATTTGGAGCAGACTTTTAGTTGTAGATCATTACACATGTTTGGAATTCAAATCTAGTGTGTGTTATGTAATGAATTTTTTTATTTGTCCGGCTAAAGTTTATGTATATTCGGATATTATATTAAGTGCCAAAATCTAATATCCTATTCCCTACCTTTCTTAGAAAATGCCAGGAAATCAGTTTTTCGTCAAATTGCTTTAACTGAAAAATATTTTCTGTACAACCGTATATATATGCTATGCAATGAGAAGCTGAACTTTTTTATGTCTGTAAGATAATACGGTCGTATAAACATAGCTGTTATTGTCTATGTTTTTTTTTTCAAATAACAAAACTATGTAGTTACTGACTTACTGTTAACAAAAAAAAGTAACGACATAACAGTAATTAAAATTCAGTATTTAGACTAAATTACCGTCAAAGTAGTTTTTTTTTTAGAATAATATAATGTTGTTACGTGCGTTGACAAAAAACAAAACATTGTTGGGTGCATCAAAACTTGATGGAATATAATGTTTCAAAATTTCAAACACCAATCTGACTGACTTATCTATTTTTCTTGTTTCTCACGTTGTTGTGTCATTTCCATTCAAAGTAGCCTCCTTTGAAAATCATGAGCGAATTCCACCAGATTTCTGATTTTTCAACTTTTTTTTCCTATAAATTTTATAAAGAAGGTTACGTAATCAAAATAAATGGTTTTTCAACCTTTGAGTGCCTTATTTTTCAAAACCATTGCTAATTCTTTTCTTACAAACTCTTCAGTGGAAACTATTGTGTAATGGCGAATATAAATATAATGATCACTTCATATATATCCATGCTAATGGAGTAATGGGGGATATATCTTTGTTCTGATAGATAGTAAATTTCAGTTTTGTCTTATCACCTTGATAGATTTTAGCAAATATGTACAACGTTCCTTACCTTGTAGGCAAACGCCAACACTACTTTTTATATCTTTGACCGATTGAAGATTGTGTACTTTTGTACCTTGTAACATTTGTTTTTTTTTTCCATATTTTCTTTGATAAAGATAAAAACACCATGTTATTTAGTGTACTCTTTTCTGTAGTTTTATCTTATTAAGGACTTTGTTATAAAAGCAAATAGTCTTAGCACATGGTATAATCTCGATAGTTATCAATCCATGTCACTACTTGATAAACTGCAAATCTGTTATGTGTCACTTGTTATAAATCTTTCCTCACAAAGTTTTCTATTTTAATTAAGACTTTTTAAGAAAGAAAAATATATGTACTATACACATGTTAAAGTCCCATAGAGTTTTTGCCACATCAAAATATGATAATTATGATTATGTCATCTGTCACAGTATTAAAAAATATTTAGTTAATAAGATAAGATTTACTCTTCTTTGCCAACATGTTATTGGATTAGCAATTACTATAGAAGGATTTTATTACCATAATCTCATTCAATGTCTTTATGAAGCAAAATCTATCGTTACACAATCATCAGTGCATTTTGGACATATTAGAGAAACTAAAGGAAATCTTCCTCTCCAAAAATAGGCAAATCTACTATGTGTCTTTCTCCCTTATGATAGTCTCTTGTATAAATATGTGTATAGTGTCAAATCATTAGAATCATATTCATCAAAAAAAAAAAATATAGGATCATCGATCTTTCTCCAAACTTTGACAAATTATTCTTGATAATGGGAAGTTCTGAGTGTCAAGAAACAAATGTCCTAATGGTAACACTACCAATGCAAGGTCACATCAATCCAATGCTCAAATTCGCTAAACAGCTCTCACAAACGAACCTCCACTTCACTCTCGCCACCACTGAGCAAGCCCGTGACCTCCTCTCCGCCACCGCCACCTCCTCAACCGACGAAAAACCACGTAGCCCCGTGGATCTCGCTTTCTTCCCCGACGGTCTGCCTAAAGACGACCCAAGAACCGAACCGATTCTGACCGTAGAGTCATTGAGACATGTCGGAGCCAAGAACTTGTCTAAAATCATCGAAGAAAAGAGATTCTCTTGCATCATCTCTTCACCTTTCACTCCATGGGTTCCTGCTGTTGCTGCTGCTCATAACATCCCTTGTGCAATCCTCTGGATCCAAGCTTGTGGAGCTTACTCTGTCTATTACCGTTACTACATGAAGACGAACGCTTTCCCCGATCTTGAAGATCTCAAGCAAACGGTGGAGTTACCAGCTTTACCATTGTTGGAAGTTGGAGATCTTCCTTCGTTTCTATTACCTTCTGAAGGAGACTTCAATAAGCTGATGGAGGAGTTTGCCGATTGCTTGAAATATGTGAAATGGGTTTTGGTGAATTCGTTTTACGAACTCGAGTCAGAGATAGTTGAATCAATGTCTGATCTCAAACCTATAATACCAATAGGTCCTCTAGTTTCTCCATTTCTGTTGGGAGCTGGTCAGGAAGAAACCCTAGATGGGAAAAATCTTGATTTGTGGAAGTCGGATGATAATTGCATGGAGTGGCTTGACAAGCAAGCTAGGTCATCTGTTGTTTACATTTCTTTCGGAAGCTTGCTCAAATCGTCGGAGAATCAAGTCGAGAGCATTGCCACGGCTCTCAAAAACAGAGGAGTTTCGTTTCTTTGGGTGATTAGGCCCAAGGAGAGAGGCGAAAACGTCGGCGTTTTGCAGGAGATGGTGAAGGAAGGGCAAGGGGTTGTGATTGAATGGGGTCCGCAGGAGAGGATATTGAGCCACGTGGCGATCTCTTGCTTCGTCACGCATTGTGGATGGAACTCGACGATGGAGACGGTGGTGGCTGGTGTTCCGGTGGTGGCGTATCCGAGCTGGACGGATCAGCCGCTTGACGCGAGACTGCTCGTGGATGTGTTTGGGATCGGAGTGAGGATGAGGAACGACGCTGTCGACGGAGAGCTTAAGGTGGCAGAGGTAGAGAGATGCATTGAGGCTGTGACGGATGGACCTGTGGCGGCGGATATGAGGAAGAGAGCGACGGAGCTGAAGCATGCGGCGAGATTGGCTTTGGCGCCTGGTGGATCTTCGGCTCAAAACTTGGAGTCGTTCATTAGTGATATCACAATCACTTAGACTTTGATTTATGTGAATTGTTTCTTGCATTTGTAACTTTGCAAATGTTTTAGAATGAATTATCACTGGACCAGCGATTACCGTTAATTTTTTCTTAAAATAATATTTGTCACTGACTGTTTTTTGTTTGTTTTTTATTGAATGGCTTGTCAAGCAAGTTACGTCTTTGGTTGTATACATATCATCAAATCGTCAGAGAAACGGTATTTTGGCTAATTAAATAGTGAATTTATATTTTGGCTAATTACATTTAACTTTCAGTCTTTCATAGATTTTAGCAACTAAATAGTTTTTTCCTTCTTAGTATGCATTCAACTGACTGTTGACCAGAACCATACTAGACTTGGCAAGAACATGCTTTTCTTTATCACAATTTTACAAATATTTGACTAGAGGTAGTGACGAGGCTGTGGTAAAAAAAAAAAACATGAGAAATTTTCAATCTATTCAACAACATTTTAAGATATATTTTGATTTTGTTGAATAGATCTCTTGCTACCTCTTGTGTTGTTGAATACATTTTTAATCTATTCAACAACATTTACAATAGTGTATAGATTGATTTTCTTACCAAAACCTCAGATAATATTGCCATTAAGCAAAATCTATCGTTGAACAACCATCACTATATATACCACTACACAACAACTCACAAATTCACACAAATTAATCTCAAATCTAAATTATTATTAAAAAAAAAAGTAAAAATGGGAAGTAGTGAGGGTCAAGTAACACATGTTCTACTGGTAGCACTACCATTCCAAGGTCATCTCAATCCAATGCTCAAATTCGCCAAACATCTCTCACGACCAAACCTCCACTTCACTCTCGCCACCACCGAGCAAGCCCGTGACCCCCTCTCCGCCGCAGCTGCCGCAGACGAAAACCGTAGCCCCGTGGACCTCGTTTTCTTCCCGGACGGTCTGCCTAAAGACGATCCAAGAGTCGAGGCTTCCATCATAGCGTCATTGAGGATCTTCGGCCCCAAGAACTTGTCGAAAATCGTCGAATCGAAGAAATTCGATTGCCTCATCACCGTACCGTTTGCTCCATGGGCTCCAGGTGTTGCAGCTGCGTACAACATCCCTTGTGCAATCCTCTGGATCCAAGCTTGTGGAGCTTACTCTGTCTACTACCGTTACTTCAAGAAAACGAACACTTTCCCTGAAGACCTCGAAGATCTCAATCAAACGGTGAAGTTACCAGCTTTACCATTGTTGGAAGTGAGAGATCTCCCTTCGTTTATCTTACCTTCTTCCGGAAGTCATCTCATTAACCTAATGGTAGACTTCGCCGATTGCTTGAAGTATGCGAAATGGGTTTTGGTTAATACGTTTTACGAGCTCGAACCGGAGATGATCGATTCGATGTCTGGATTCAAACCGGATATAATCCCAATCGGTCCTCTGGTTTCTCCGTTTCTGTTGGGAGCTGATCAGGACGGAACCCTAGATGGGGAAAATCTTGATATGTGGAAAGCTGATGGTTACTGTATGGAGTGGCTTGACAAGCAAGCTAGGTCATCGGTTGTTTACATTTCTTTCGGAAGTATTCTTAAATCGTCGGAGACGCAAGTCGAGAGCATAGCGACGGCTTTGAAAAACAGAGGAGTTTCATTTCTCTGGGTGATTAGGCCTAAGGAGATAGGCGAAAACGTCGACGTTTTGCAGGAGATGGTCCGGGAAGGACAAGGGGTTGTCATTGAGTGGGGTCCGCAGGAGAGGATATTGAGCCACGTGGCGATCTCTTGCTTCGTCACTCACTGTGGATGGAACTCGACGACCGAGACTGTGACGACTGGTGTTCCGGTGGTGGCGTACCCGAATTGGATTGATCAGCCGCTTGATGCGGTATTGCTTGTTGATGTGTTTGGAATCGGAGTGAGGATGAAGAACGACGCCGTCGACGGTGAGCTTAAGGTTGAAGAGGTAGAGAGATGCATTGATGCGGTGACGGTAGGACCCGCCGCCGCGGAAATGAGGAAGAGAGCGACGGAGCTGAAGCACGCGGCGAGATCGGCGATGGCGCCTGGTGGTTCATCTGCTCGGAATCTGGACTCGTTCATCGGCGAAATCACCACAATCAACTGATTCGTTTTCCGATTTGCTACTTGCTCATTTGCTTCAAATTATTATCTTTTAACCGGCAATAACCGGATTTAGTTTCAATAATTTAACCAGACGCTTATCAAATCTATAGAGTTTTTAAGGCTATCTTACATTTAAATCCGCAATAACCGGATTTTGATTTTGATTTTAAATATTAAACCAGACGTTTATAAAACCAGAACATTTGATTTTATCTGGCTTCAGAAATCTTCAATTGGGAGAAAACTCGAGTCTCCGATGAATCTGTACCAGTACCTTCTCCATAGCTGCTCTTATGCACAATCGAGTTGGTGCTAAACGAATCACTCACCATCAATCTCGGAATCACCAACGAGCTTCCGCCACCACCGGCGGAGAAAGTCGCGTCGCTATCTTCATGAGGCTCTCTGTGAATCGGCGTCATCTGAAGCTGCATCACATATTCCAGATCCCAAATCACATCCGCCATGCTCGGCCTCTCTTCGCCGTACTCCTTCAAACACTTCTCCACGATCTCCATAAACTTCCTCAACGAGCTCGGCTCGATCTGACCGATCAATTTCGGATCTAAGATCTCATCGATTACCCCTTTCGATTTGCAGAACATCGCCCACTCCGCTAGATTCACTTCCTCGTGAGGGAGATACCGATCGAGCGCCGGTCTCGCGCATAGGACCTCGAGGAGAACAACACCGAAGGCGTACACATCGGATTTCTCCGTCAAAATGTGCGTCTGCAGATACTCAGGATCGAGGTAACCGAACGTTCCTTTGATGTTAGTGGTCCTAGCGAGATCACAATCATCGATAATCCTAGTATATTGATATACATGTTTCCACATGGTTGTGGAAAAATAGAAAGTTATAACTTTTGTAGATTTTACTAACTTTATAAAGTTTGTTCTACAAATGTCGCCACAAACTATTACAAAGAAAAATCGCAACGTTTGTCTGGATCAGTCCACTAGAAAAAAGCATTAAAAAATGAATTCTTTATATAAATGCTTCAAAACAGTATGCAAAACAGTTGATGTTTTAAAATTGTACATCTAGAGATCAGGGAGTAAAGCTGAGGAGAATTTACATATGCATTATAGAGGGAACTCTGAAACAATTTTTGTTATTTCATTTCTAAAGCAACCTAAAAAAAAAGTAGTGCAATAGTTTAAAATTCTATTACGGCCCATTACTGAGGTAATCAAATGAAGCATATTGAGCCTCAACTAAAGTAGCGACAGAAAACTGCGAAGACCCATTCAATCGTTGATGAAAATATAGCTTAAGTTCAAGCTTTGTAGTATTGCTGCTTTGTGTGTTGCATAGTGGTGAATTGTTAACCGGATCGAAAGGTCGGTTATCGGAACTACCACCACCACCACCACCTCTGTACAATGGCAAAGGAGACCACACAGTGACCTCAGCGTCTGCCTTCTTCTTCTTGTTCTTGGATCTCCTCCGTTTCAAGAAAACCATGAACAACAAACTCAAGACCAGAATCAATCCAGCAGCTACACAACCACCAATGATGTAAACCATGGAGCTACTTTTACTTGAAGAGACAGAGGCAGACTTTTCCATAAACTCCATCACCTCAAGACCATTCAAGAAACCAGCATCTACACGGAGCTCCTTAGTACCTATGCTTACATTCAAGAGTCCAGAACCATCAGAGACATCCACGACATCTTTGTAAAACGGAGTGACCAACCTTACGCGCTCTGAAGGCTTTACATCTATCCGCAAATGCCCGTTTACATAGAGGTAGAAATCGGAGTCAGGGTTTAGTGTTTTGCTCAAGATATCACAGAAGTGAGTCCTGACGAAGTGTCTAGTGTTGCTCTTGACCTTAAGTGACCATGTGACATTCATCAACAACCCCACGCCTTCACTCGAGCTACGGTTCATCGTTTTAGTCGTCTTGTAGACGGGATCAGGAGCAGTATATTCCGTAGCTGAGACTGACCCTGACTCGTAGTTAGGCTTTTGTGCTGTTTGATTGTTCCTCGCAGCATCTTTTCGGTAGAGAAAGTCATCGTCTAGCGACCAAGTTCGTCCCAAGGTGTCGTTTTCCGGTGTGATTTTCTTTCCTCCTACGTTTAATCTGTAAACCGTATGCAGATTCTTGTCAAACTTTGACAAAATATCTAGGTCGTCACGAGCAGAGAACACTTCGATGGCATTGACGAGAGCTACAGAGGAAGGATCGGGGACAAACTGAATTTCGAATTCCGGCGAAGAAATCATGAGGAGAAACTCCTCTACCCGTGGAGTCTCAGTCAAGTTCTGGACGGAGAAACTTTTAAAGTGGTGATTAGAACCAGAAGTAGCGGAGACGGTGAAACGAGCAGTTGAAATCTCTGTTGGAGAAGAGAGAGCAGAGAAATGGAGACGCACAAAGTGTAGACCAGCAGAATCGAGCTGGAATTTGTAAGAAGAAGTGCGTCTGAAGATCCTAACCGTCTGATAGATTCCCGGCGAAGTGGATGATCCGGATTGGTTGCTGCTGGTTTCAGTTCCTTCTTTGGTGAAGGAAACGGAGTTACCACCGGAGGTCATATCTCCGACGAAGGTCCGACCACCGTAGATGACATCAGAATCGGACCCACAGTTGACGTAATACTTCTCCGGAAGAGAATATGAAGAAGTAGCTGAAAGAGTGAGACGAGGAAGAAGAAGAAGAATAACTAGCATCGTCATAAAGAGAGAAACAGAGTCTCGAAAACAGAGATTCTCCATATTCGTTTGAGAGAGAAAGAGAGAGTGAACAGTGAAAAGTCAAGTATTTAAGGTCAATGGCTGAAGATATGTGTGGTTTATGTGAAGATGGTTGTGGAAGTAGATGAGATTAAAGAATTGGAATTATTGGTGGGACAATAAGGAAGAAGACCGGAGTTGACTTTTCAAGTCATCGTCTTTTGTCCCGTAAACAAAACTCTCACCTAGTAATTGATCAGTCAATCATTTTTTGTTTGTTTGGTTCTGTTGGCATCATACATTTTTTTCTTTGTTCGAAAATATTTATAGGATTTGTTCCAATAACTTTGTGATACTGCAATTTGATTAATATTACCTAATTATGTTTCTTTGTGATCAACATTTTCGTTAGTATCTTTAGTATATAATTTTTAGGATGATGTTAAACGATCTACTCTAATTATAGTGTCATGTATACTTATAGTATTAGCCAATGTTAATGTAAAACAAGAATTAGATCGAATAAAGTAGTCAATGACCCTGTCTTCCTGCATTTTTTATTGATAAGTTTCTTGTTTATTTTCACCTTTTTTTTATTTACTCAGTCCATGGTTTAGATATCTCTCTTATGATGAAGAACGGTTTTATCGAAGTTTTATCATTGTGATCTTAAGTTGAAGAGTTTGAGAATTAAGTGACATGATTTCTTTGTCATTATGATGGCAACTCTGACACTAATACCTTAAGCATGTATAAATTCAAATGTAACTTAAAAACTCCAGTATATCTAAAAACTCTAACACAATAAAACTGCTAAGCAAATTCTCTTTCCATTCTAAGTAAGTCATCATTTATTTAGCATTACCAAAAGAAGAAAAAGACAGTCGTCTGAGAGGAACAAAACTCAAAGACAACAAATCTACAGAAATAACTACCTCTTTCAATTCATGTCCATCTTATTCATTGGAATAAGTCTGAGGTTTGAAAACAGAGCTGTTCAATTTTAAAATTACAGAGAAACACAAACCGAGTAAAAGCAAAACACACCAAGCTAAACCGGAAACAATAACAGAATCTGAGACCATTACAAAAAGATACAAAACTAAAACAGTGGGACATTGATGGGTTGTCTTCTCCCCAAGTTTTTTTCCTCTACCGTCCATTTGGTTTGGATTTGCTTCATTTTCTTTCTCAAAGATTCTTTAACTTGGGTTTAAGAAGGCTCTACAAACAAATATAACTTGTTAGTTATTACGTTAATTTAACTTATTAGTTAATCCAGAAAATACTTTGAGATTCAGAACATTACCTCTCTAAGAGTAGTTGTGCTTCTGCTTCTGCGTTTGTTTCGGCCAAAAGGATTTGTGAACCACTCTGGTTTGAAAATAACCAATATGTATCCAATCGTCAATCCAAGCACAATACCAGGTCCAAATCCTATAGCAGCTGCAATCCAACTAAACACCTCTTCTTCTTCTTCTTCGTCTTCCTCTGCCTCTGGCGTCTCATCCTGTTGCGATGCTGGAATGTGGATATCTTTGCAAACGTCGTCAAGAGAAGGTCCAAAAGTCCTGAGTTGTCTCCGAAAGAAGAGCAAGGCTGCCTTCGAAACTGAGTGCCTCCCGGTACTAGACCTTCAAGATGGTTATGGGAAGTTCATGTACTCAAGGAACGAGAGATTCCCTAACTCTTGTGGAATTTCTCCTGAAAGCTTGTTTCGGGAAACGTCTAGTGACTCGAGAGCTGACAGGTTCCCCATAGATGATGGGATGTGGCCAGTGAAAGCATTGTTTGACAAGTTTAGCACATGAAGCTCTTTCAATAGACCGATGGAACTTGGAATCTCTCCTTCAATCTGTTTCCGGAGAAGTCGATTGCTGTGTGATTTTAAGGATACGTTCATACTCCAACTCTACACCTTTATTCATCAAAACAATTGAATCGTGGTAATAGCCATCTTCATCTCCCATGTAACTTTCAGTCAACCGATCTTCGTTTCTTGCAAGTGATGACATATTACTCCAGTTGAGAAAGTAATCTGATGGCAAAGTTCCGATGAAGTGATTATGTGAGATGTCGATGATTTTCACGTAAGGAACGAGGCTTGACGTATGGGTCCATGGAATGCGTTGGAGCGTAAGACTAGAACTTGCAGTTTCTGAAGAGAACTCAACCAGAACGGAAACGTGTCGTTGATTCTGTTGCTTTCCACATTTAGAACTTCAAGATAGAGAAATGGATCAAAGATCTTGGAAGCTTTCCCGCCAACTGGTTATGACCGACATCAAGTGATCTTAGATTTTCAAATACACTCTCCGGAAGATCACCACTAAGACGATTCTGATGAAGGTTTAGATCTGAAAATTACTCTTGAGATTTCCCATACAAAGAGGGATTGAACCACTGAAGTTGTTGTTTGACAAATCGAGAATGCTTAGAGAGCGCAGCTCGCATATGAAAGAAGGAATCTTCCTGTGAAATTGTTTTTGGAGCCAACAAGTACTCAAGACAGAGGATAGTCCGTGTTTTGTTGATCTTTCGAAACTGATGAAAGTATTGTTGGAAAGATCCACATAGCTCAGTTTTGGTAGCGTCCACAACCAGCTAGGCACTTGACCTGTGATTTGTTGTTGGAAATGTCTAGCCGCTTCAGATGCTCAAGGGTTCTTAGAAGCTCTGGAAATTCGGTGATACCGCAGCCTGACAAGTATAAATAGTCTATCCATTGCGAAGGAGGATGTGAGACTGAACTTTTGTCGTTGTTAAAACATGGTTGCCTGAGAGATCCAATGAAACAAGTGACTTGAAACATGATAAGATTGCATCCAAGTCAATCGTAGTTGTGGTGTTCAAATGGGATAGTCTCAATTCATTGAGCGACTTGAGATTTGAGAAGATACTGAAGTCAACTGGGCCTTGGGTGTTCCAATGGGAAAGGTCAAGAGCTCAAGATTGACTAATTTGGAAATAGATCTCGGGATTGGCCCTCTCAAGTTGTTATTTCCAAGGGTAACTCTTGTAGCTGAGATGGTGAAGAATATTCCCAAACTCAAGAGTGCCGTTGAGGTTGTTATTATCCAAATATATACTGGTCAAAGAAGGAATGGTGAAGAGAGAAGAAGGAAGCTTCCAACGAAATTGTTGTCATTTGCGTAAAAAATCTCCAAGTTGGAGAGTGAGGTGATGTTTGGAGGAAGTGTTCCTGTGAACTGATTGTAGGAGATTTCTAACGCAGCTTTGTCAAATTTAGTAATACAATGGGAAAGTTACCACTGAGCTTATTGGAACTAACATACAACTGGTCAATTGGTTCAAACTCCAAAAGAAGATGGGATTTCACCAACCAAACTGTTAAAAGAAAGACAGAGTTCGGCGAGATGCGAAAGGTTACCAATTGAAGACGGAATCACACCCGAGAAAATGATTAAGAGATGGATCGAGATAGTTTAGATGAGAGAGTTTCCAAGTGAAAACGGAATCTGACCAAAAAACTGATTAGAAAGGTAGACGGAGAGAGGTGAGATGAGAAAGATTTCCAATTATAGACGGAATCTGACCAGATAAATGATTATAAGAAAGGTGAGAGTGGTTAGAGAAGAAAGTTTTCAATTAAAAGACTGGTATTCGAATGTAACCTGCCATGGAGGCAGCTGCAACTGAGGTCTAGCTCGATCACTTCCCCAGACTTGGCATCACACTTGATACCATCCCAATAACAACAGTCGCTGTTATTTTCCATGACCCGTCTTCGGATAAGGGCTTACATAGCTACCATTAAATAACACTCATCAAAAGAAGACTTCCGAATCTTAAACTCGTTCTTGAACTCGAGAAGGGCATCCCTTTGCTCAGGACGACACAAGTGTCTAGTAGGAGCCGCAAACAGGTCTTGAAAATTAAAAATGAACAAGAAGAGAAAAGAAAGAGTGATATGAATGCTACTCATGATTGAGCACTTTCAAGAGTCTTATTTTTGTGTTTCTTCTTTAAGCTAATTTAACTTTCTTGAATATCAATATAATAAAGAAGCTAAAGATGGAAATTTGTGATGGTAATATATGATTCATGCCCATCTCTTTATATACACATAGACATGCTCTATATCCACTCAGCTTGACTCACCACACATATCTAGTCTTTGTACGAAGTGTTATTCACGTTGGACGAAGAGAGTAAAAGTCTTTGTGTTGAATAATCAATTTTCCACACATTTTGGATTTACTTGCATCACAAGAATTTCAAAAACTTAATGGTCCAGCCAGATTAAACGCTATATATACACAAAAATAATAATCTCAGATGAGAATAGACGCTACTGAGGTACAGATGACTGATATATGTTACTATAGCTGGTAATGAACGGTAGGGTCAAGAGTTCATCTGTAATGTCTGTCAATTTTACGATCAACAGATGAAGAAGACACATGTGGTGGATGTGAAGATGATTTTGAGGAAGAAGATAAGATTAAAGGAGAATGAGAGGACTGAAATTATTTGTGGGGATAATAAGGAAGAATACTGGACTTGACTTTGAAAGTCATCTTCTTTTGTCCCGTGAAACAATCAATTAGAGTTTTCTTTTCGAATTTATTGCAGATTCAAGAATCATTGTGAGCATTGTTACATTTCTATGCTGCCTGTGAACCACCGGGTAAATCTGCTGCCAATGAATCATCTTGAGCCTGATCAATTTTAATTTTGGTACGCCTGTGAACCTAGCTTTCTTCCATCCGGTTCCTAAAGCCGTTAGCTAGAGACTTTGAAGTGTCAAAAAGGTCACAAAATATCTCTTTATATAAGCAATATCATTTTCACTCATTTTGCAGATAAATAATAAGTATGCATGAAGAGAGAAATTTAGAGAATGTACGACATATAGTCGACGAACGTTATAAATCTGATAGTCCGAAGAGTCTACAGCACACAGAGGTGAAACTGTTCATCAGTATTACAAGGAACCAATTATAGCAAAAAGTAGAAAATCAGAAATTTTTAGTAACATTGTATAATCCATCAGTTTGTTTGGTTTCTTTTCGCATGATACGTTATCATTGTTCGAATTTGATTTATACGATTTGTTCATTGACGTTGTGATGTTGCAATTTGATTACTCTTATTAAAAAAGGAAATTGTGTTCGGTGCTTTATTTTAATTGTTTTTGGAAGATTATATTTTTTATCAGGCTAAACTTACTATGCCAACTATATATATTGCTCATTACCAAAAAGAAACTATATATATTGCTGATGTTTCTGTTTCTACAAGTATCATAACCTGTTAAAAATATCAAATCAATAAAGGTTTAGTCAGTGTTATTAAATATTAGTTAAATGTAGTTTAGTGGTTTGTGTTAGAGGTGTTGTTGTAATAAGTGTAGAAATAATGAGGTTGGGTTTCTTGGAGAGAAAGCAAGTGATCCATCATTGTGTCACCCTTTTCTTTATCTCCATGTTTTTCATTATTGAGCATGGAAAACAGAGTTCTTCAGTGTTCCGCTACAGGGAAACACAACACAAACAGAGTTACTAGAAACAGAATAAAATATTTACACACAAAGCTAAACTGAAAACGATAACAAAAAGATGGGTTGTCTCGTCTTCTCACCAAGCTTCTTTCTCTACAGTCCAGTTGGCTTGACTGCTTAGTTCTCTTTTTCAAAGGTTCTACAAACAAAAATAGCTGAATACGTTAATTTCACTTATAAATCCATCCAGAAAAATTTATTATAAATATAATAGTCTTTATTATTTGAAAATGCAGAAAATGCAAAATATAGTCTTGCACATGCTCTAACCTCTCTAATGAGTAGTGGTGCTTCTGCTTCTGTGTTTGTTGCGGCGAAAAGGATTTGTGAACCACTCTGGTTTGTAAATAACCAATATGTATCCAATCGTCAATCCAAGGACAATACCAGGTCCAAATCCAATAGCAGCTGCAATCCAACTAAACACCTCTTCTTCTTCTTCCTCTGCCTCTGGCGACTCATTCTGTTGCAATGCTGGAATGTGGACATCTTTGCAAACTTCGTCAAGAGAAGGTCCAAAAAGTCCTGAGTTGTCTCCGAAAGAAGAGCACTTTTGAGTTCGAAACTGAGTGCCTCCCGGTACGAGACCTCTAAGCTGGTTATGGGAGAAGTTCATGTACTCAAGGAACGAGAGGTTCCCTAGCTCTTGTGGAATTTCTCCGGAGAGCTTGTTTCTGGAAACGTCTAGTGACTCGAGAGCTGTCAACTTCCCCATAGATGATGGGATGTGGCCAGTGAAAGCATTGTTTGACAAGTTGAGCACATGAAGCTCTCTCAATAGACCGATGGACCTTGGAATCTTCCCTTCAAGTCTGTTTCCGGAAAAGTCGATTGCTGTGTCGATTTTACGGATACGTTCATAC